CCAGCCCTGGGGCTGCCCAGGGGCCCTGCTCCGCACCGGGCGCCGGAGGGCCAGGCAAGTGCCTTGGTGCCTCTTCCACGGGCCGCACGCGTGTGGGGCGCTCCGCCAGGTCACGGGATCCGCCCAGGTGTTCATGGAGCTTCTGGATGAGCTGATGCAGTGGGCCACGGCCAGTCTGTGACAGTGACAAACGGTGATGTGACTGGGCCATAAAATGGGGGCTAAGCCCTAGACGTAAGGTGTACCCGTGTCTGGTGAAAGTTGAGAGGTGCCAGCCGGGAACCAAGGAGGGGCAGAGAGCACAGGGAGGGCAGGAATCGGGTTGGAGCTTACAGTGTGGGGACAGATGCATGGGAAGAGACCAGATTCCCTGACACAGCAGAGTGCAGCGGACGGGCTCAGCAGGCACACACCCCTTTTCACACATGCACATCCACACGTGCACACCCAAGAGTCGGCCCCAGTCCAGGCAGCCACTGCCACTTGGAAAAGACTTTTGTCCCCTTGCCCAGGCTGGAGAGGCCCCCACCCCCAGCACACACAGGGCAGGCACTGACCCGACCCTGAACCCCACTTGCTGAGACAGGTTCGTGGCAAGGATCACCCACAGTACCAGCGCAAGGCCACTGCCCTCTCCTCCAAGTCCTGGTCCTCAGGGAGTGCAGCATTGCACTCGGGGTGGGGTGCAGGCCATGACTGACTGCTGGGGTGAAGCTGTGGGTTCTGCCAGGTCAAAAGACATGCCCTTAACCTCATCTCCTAAGCCTCCTGGAGCAGTCCGCCCAAAGCGGATTCAGTCACGAGAGAGGCCGAATGTGGTGCAGCGGAGGGACTGGGAGAGGCCTGGGAGGTTGGGCACCTCCAGCTGTCTAGAGAGGGGTGGGGTATGGTCTTTGGGAAGAGCCCCCTCCCTGACAGCCTGGTGCAAGCAAGAGGCAGGTGGCAGGCCCAAGTGTTCTTGGGTCCAGAGGGGCCGCAGGAGGTGGGGAAGTCACTGTGTCTCCTGGACAGGACCTGCCAGCCCTGTCATTCCTGATTAGCAGGTAATGGCCTCCTTGACACACAGTTTTATTAATCAAATTAATACGGGCTGAGGTGACCTTGACTGGTTCTGCTGAGAGGGGTATTCTCCCAGAAGGGGCAGGTGGGTTTTGAGCAACACACCTGTACCCCTGGCCATACCCACTCACCCTTGCACTCACACACTGGCTCCCACTCACCCATGCCCATCCCAATCCCCACTCAGTACCCTGACAATAGCACTAAGGCTGGAGAGAGGTGGTGGACACAGGGGCCAGGTCCCACAGGCTGGTCCTGTCTGTGGACTCCACAAAGAAGACAGTGAGGATGCCTGGAAGGCGGGAGGAGGGAGAGGGCGGGGTCTTGGCCTAGGGGGAGCCCTCCTTGCTCTCTAGTCTGCTTTGGGTCCGCCCCAAACCCACCCCTGCAGATCTTGCCTCCTGCGGCAGCTTTAGTGGGCAGTGGCTGCCCCCTGGTGGCCTATCCGCTCAGCCCCAAACTCCTATCTGCCCAGACTTGTGGACCAGCCCTCCCGCCACCGGGCTTCCACCCAGCCTGCCACTCCCACCTGTCCGAAGCAGCCCTTCTCACCTCTCTGCTCCCCCTTTTAATCCTCACCTGAGGATTTTTTAAAATTCATTTTTAGAGAGAGGAAGGAAGAGGGAGAGTGAGAAACATAGATGTGAGAAACAAACATGGATCAGTTGACTTCCCGTATGCACCCACCAAGGAATCAAACCTGCAACCTAGGTATATGCCCTGTCTGGGAATCAAACTGGCAATCTTTTGGTGTCCTGGACAATGCTCCAACCAACTGAGCCATCCTGCCAGAGCCTCACCCCTCCCTTTGGGCCCAGGATCTGAGCCATCCTCCTCAGGACCTGGGGCAGTCCCCCTCATATATGCAACTTGGGGACACTGAGGGCTCACAGTCTGAGGAGCCCAGCTGGTGCTACAGGGGCAGAGTGAACATGGAGCCAGAGGGAGCGAGAGCAGGCTCACCAGTGGGCCCTGAGCCCAGGAGGATGAGATGGCCTCATGGCAGGTTCCGAGTGAGGAAGCAGCCTGGATGCCCAGGCAGGGCTGCAGAGCGGGGGCCAGGATGGGGGGGGGGGCAAGGCAGCTGGGAGGGGTTGCAGGG